GAAGCACACATTATTCCAACAAAATATTTAAGCAAAAATATATTCAAATATATCAATATTATGAAAATAGACCCCAAAACAACTGCCAATAAGACACACGCTAACAAAAAACAAAAACATAATTTGTAATGACTAGTGACTAACTCAACGAGACCGCTGCAGAGACATATGGGCAACAATAAACAATACATAAACCAAGCTGTGACTTACATAACATTTAACCATTGCCAAAACAAACAACTGCCAGTAACTGCCTTTGTTAGACCACTTTTGTGGTGTTTGGGGGGGGGGGGGGGTCTTTTAGCCTGAGGATTTACACCCACATCGTTAGTTCTGTCACCACGGCTGTGCATGTGAGGATTTTATTTTGTGCCCCCCCCCCCCCCCCCCCCCACATACAAAAATCCCCAGCTTCACAGAGGATTCGAACCCGGGTGTCCCACGTAAGAGCCTAGCGTTCCAACCGTACGGCCAGCCACTCCTCCAAGTTAAATAGTTGCATGTCCTTTAGTTAAAGTTTTTTTCTTCCATTCCTGGACAGCTTCCAATGATACAATGCTCCAACCATAAGTATCAGATTTTCTAACCTTTCAGCTGTAGCAAATGCTGCTTTAGATTAAAAAAATTCAGTTTTATAACATCAAATTTTATCTATATATATATGATGTTAGCTACATCTGTTAATATCGGAGCCGCCATGGTGTAACGGTTAGATGCTCACCTGCCGATCCAAAAGTCGTGCGGTCAGGTCCTGAAGGAACTGGACTTTTTCCCCAGATCAACCCAGCCTTAAATGGGTACCAGGTAAAGTCATGGGAAGTAAAGGCGGCCAGCATGATGTTGACCACGCCACCCATATGGTGCTGATTGGTCTATAAAACATGGGTCTAGCATTATATGCCCAATACACTTAAAGGCACAGAAAAGTGACCTTTTACCCCTGTTTTAGTTCCTGCCTGAGTCCTCAGTCAGTCCACATAATATTCTTATTTTCCTGGTACGCAGGAGTCCACAAGGTGAAGATAACTGCTTTATAGGATCTAGGTAAAGATTTAACATCACAGCATTAAGGATGTGCCAATATTAGCTCCGCCTATCTCTTCAAGAGTCAGCAAACAGTTTTCATACTGATGGTATCCAATTTCAGGCTACTTTTTGATTTTTCACTGCCACTTTTTTTTAGATCCCTAAGGATCACTGCTGGAGGTCTGAAGTTCATGCTCTGTGCTAGCCTTGATATGCATCAGCCACACTGCAGAGACAAGCCAGACTTCAACTAGCTGGAGATGTGGGGTTTCTGTTTTGTGCTATACTCTTAGCCTGTTTTGTGCTATACTCTTAGCCTGTTTTGTGCTATACTCTTAGCCTGTTTTGTGCTATACTCTTAGCCTGTTTTGTGCTATACTCTTAGCCTGTTTTGTGCTATACTCTTAGCCTGTTTTGTGCTATACTCTTAGCCTGTTTTGTGCTATACTCTTAGCCTGTTTTGTGCTATACTCTTAGCCTGTTTTGTGCTATACTCTTAGCCTGTTTTGTGCTATACTCTTAGCCTGTTTTGTGCTTTACTCTTAGCCTGTTTTGTGCTATACTCTTAGCCTGTTTTGTGCTATACTCCTGACATGCAGAGACAGGCTAAGCCATAGAGGATAAAAACCTAGTGCAGTGAAACCACACATGGAGCTGATCCATGATTCTAGTGATCACATGAGGTGACAAACTGACCACGTACACTTCTTGGCATAGCACATGATAATGACAACACTGACACAGCATGAAGATACAAGGCAGAATTTAAAGAAAACCCGTGTCATGATTTTTGTAAAACTCTACAACAAAATTACATTTCAAGGGACAAAAATTCATTTTTGTGCTTTATTATTTGTTGATTTGTAACTCTCTAGCAATGCCCCTGACGAGATACGGCAAAATATGCCAGGTAATAAATTATGCAATGTGTTGTATAAACATTATTTTTTAAAAATATTACATCAAAAAAATTCTATTAGCATTTCATAAGGACAAAACATGGCACTTTAAAAAAAAAAAACACAAAATAACTGAACATCTACTATTCCATCCGATATCTACAAATAATGACAGAAAAAGACAGGGTGACATGTCAACATCTTCTAATATGTAAATTAAAACAACAATAATCAATGCAATAAACAGTGCAATGATCTGTGTGTTCAAAACACGGCTTACACTCATACAAGTGAAAATGGTTCCAACAGCAAATATTGGGAAGTGTTAACCCTGTCAATCTGAGCAGCTGAAAACCATCACTTCTGGTCAGGTCAAATTTCCCATAAATGTCACTTCTGTAGTGAAATGTTTATGAAAAGCACAGTTAATGAGTCTGGCTGAGTTTTCATTTGTCCAAACGTCTAGAAGGTGAGGATATGAATATATTAACTAACAATAGCAAACAGGAGGATTGTGTCTTGAGCCTCAGTGATAAAGGTCGAAGGTCACCTGGTACATATGTTCTTTAAGACCCTCAGGGGAAGTATTCCATTCAATGCTTCATTATGTTAGTGTTGATTGATTTCTCCTTTAATGTGCCTTTATTTAACACAAACATTTTTATTATTGTAGATCAGTGGCTCTCAACCTTCCTAATGCCTCGACCCTTTAATACAGTTCCTCTTGTTGTGGCGACCCCCAACCATACAATTATTATTGTCGCTACTGAATAACTTCAATAAATATGTTTTACTATGGTTTTTGGTAACCCCTGTAAAAGGGTCATTCCCAAAAAAAAGGGTCATGACCTACTGGTTGAGAATCACTGATGTAGTTAACAAATTTATTAGTGACCCTTTGTTATAAAAAAAAATGTTAACATACAATTTTTCTAGAATTATAACAGGGTCATGACAATTTCAAAGTGTTTCTTAGGCAAAAAAGTTTTTTAAAAAACATTTAGCTGCCTATACTTTACAGAGCACTGCAGCATTGTTTAGCTGTTTAGTTTAACCTAAAAAGATGGCAACTGATTCATGTGCGCGTATAGGGAAATGAGCGAGCGGACCAACTGGCAAGCACTGCACTAAGGCATGACCAAAGAAGCATGGACACAGCAGATATCGTCAACGTTGTCTGGACTGGGCTAGTGGACAATGAGGAATCCCTGACACTAATACGATTGCATGACATGGGAGTAAAGCATGGTGAAGCAAGTTTATGCTGTTTTAGAGGCCGAGATGGGAGTCAATATAACCAGCTTCTCATGGGAACAATTAGTAGAAGTATTTTGGAGTGGCTGCTGCAACGGAGGACTGAGCAGGCATGAGAATGCCTAATGTACAGTGATGTAGATTGTGATAACATAACAAATAATAACACATTAATTGCAAAGGCAGCCACTAGAAGTGGCCACGCTAACAGTCTGGCTCTAGAAATGTAATTCATCATCGACAGAAGCAGAACAGTGATTAGAGAGGAGGAGGATGGGGAGAAGGAGGAAGAGAAGAGGCAGAAAAAAAAAAAAGTTACACTACCATATTAGGGATTCAAACCTGGTTACCCTGAATGAGAGTTCAGGCTTCTAACCATGCAGCCTGTAATTCTGTTGATGATTTTCTGCTAGGTCATATACATCTTTAGGTGACCAATGGTTGACTTCCTTGCTGACAAAATTCTGACAACAATGTTGACTTGGCTCCACAGTGGTGCAACAGTTAGCAGCTTTGACTGTCAACCCTGTAGTCACAGATTCACATCTTCACTTAGGCAGATTTTTTAATGACTTGACACCCAGGTCAACTCAGCCATCCCACAAACTTTGAAATGATCCAGATAGAAACTATCAAAAGGTCACAATGATTATTTTGTTATTCATTTAACCTATATACAAGGCATTTGTGCAGTGCAACGTCAGGATACAAATGTAATCCATTCCATGATTGAGCTCTTATGGTTGTAACGTTACAGTTTTATTCTCACTAGTGTGCCTGTCAAACAGGACCCCAAACACCTGAGCACATTCTGCAGACCTGCACACTCTACCTGCAACTTCGAAAAGACACCTGGCCTCAAGAGCAGAGTGGCACAGCAAGCTATGGGGAACCATGAAGGACCTGCAGCTGACATGCGAGTTCATAGAGGCAACCTACCTGATGGTCTGATCTGAGCATACCAAACCGAATGCAAAGAAGAAGAAGAAGAAGAAGAAGAAGAAGAAAAAGACGAAGAAGAAGAAGATTCTCACTAAAAAAATTTAGAAATTTTTTGTTGTTGTTGTTGAAGGCAGCAGGAGACTTCCGAGCATGAAGCTACAGCTCATCACCATCAAGTGCCTTGTCAAACTGGCTTAAGTCCTCCTTTGACAATACTAACCTGACCTAATTCATTTTAAAGTTATCAGGATACTGTCGGGTAAAGCCGAGAGTTTTCATCTCCCCAGCTCGAAACCTGTATTTCATGTCGTATTCTTGGACAACAATATTGGCAAGCCTAACTTCGTATCCTTACAAATCTGTATTTCAGGTACACTCATATCTTACAGTTCCACTGTATTTGCCTTAAATAAAACTGGAGAATTTACTATCAATAATCTTCAGAATGTCATATATTTGAAAACTTTATTCCACAATCAAAGTGTCGATATACAATGTTATCACGGTTTCCAAAATGATGATTATGGTTGAAAGCACCATTCAGTCAATCAATTCATGACTGCACAAGCTTTTGTCACATTCACAGCCGAAGAGCTTCAAAATTGAGCAAGCTTTTGATATATTCCTGGTAGAAAAGCTTCACAAGTGAGCAAGCTTTTGTTAAATTCACACTAGAAGAGCTTCAAAACTGAGCAAGCTTTTGTAATATTCACAGCAGAAGATTTCCATATTTGATCAACCATCAGTAATTCCAAAGCAGGAGAACTACACAACTGAGCAGGACAGTCACAAACTGAAGAGCTAGCTGCTTGTCTGATGCTTCTGTAAGGCAATCATCTGAACTTGGTTAATGCCACACAAATGCTGCCTCCTGTCAATTCATATAGTCAGCTGTTTGGCTCTTTTTCTGCGTCCTTTCCTCTTCTCCTTCTCCCTGATAGCATCGTACTCCTGTCGCGTTCTGAGAATAAACTGTGGTTCAACTTGATTGTTCAGGGCGTAGAAAACATTGGCTCGATCTGGAATTAATAATTCTGTGGAGGACAGAAAGATTTTGTAAGACTGTTATGTTTTTAATGTAGCAAAATTATCTTACTTTCTTAGCTAGGTTTAGGTTTAGACAAGAGACCAACATCAAGGCACAAGAGGGAACACAAAAGGCTCTGTTCTACTTCTGACTCAAACCTGAGTATGAAGAATCGCAGCACAGTACTCGAACTCCGTTTCTCTATTTTTTCTTTCCTGGGGGATTCTTCCCATTTATTTAAACTTGTATGTGTGCGAATTTTATGTTAAATGCTATCGTGTAAAGTAGTTGTATGTTTGCTTATACTTTGTTAGTCTGTTAACATAGGTTGCCATTGGTCGTATATGTTGGGTTATGTACAAAACATCAGAAAAACACAAGACAAAAGGGGGCATAGGAAGACTAAAAAAAAGAGAAGGGATGTAGACAGCATTTGTTTTCTTAATTTGTGTCGTCTCTCGAAGGTTGTTTCAGTGGTCACCATTGTTGATTGTAGTATATAATCCAACAGTAATGTGGATCACGTTTGTTTTATCGTCAGTAGTTTAGGTGTGGTGAGTTTCTATCTAATAGGTGATATATTCATTCGCTTTGTCCTTGAGTCTTTGTTTATCAATTTGATATGTTTCTCTAAGGGAAGCCATTTGTTTTGTTCATGGTTTTCTTTGGTTTTACTCTTTACAACATTTCTGGTAAAATCATGTTTCTCAGACTGCCTGTATATGGTGCAGGTCACAATGTATAGGTCCGACAATTGAGTAATGAGACTAATTCCATTAAATTAAAATAATCAACAACTTAAAGATGTAACCTGTATCTGATTCAAAGTAAGCCCTCGTGGATTAATACAGCAAGTGGTATGATCTAACAAACACTGGAATGTCCTCTGTAGTTTTGTTGTTGTTACGGCCCTTGTTGTCGATGTTACCGCCCTTTGGATGACATCAATATCATCAAAGAAGTGTCCTTTCAATCGTAACTTTAGTTTTGGGAATAGAAAATAATCCAGGGAGACAAATCTAAGGAATAGGGTGGAAAACGGAGAAGACACACTTGTTTTCAGCCAAAAATTCTGGTTTTGATATCCCAAACATCACAGCATTTATCACACAAATATCAAAGTGTTAAAATGACCCCACTTACCCCCATCAGGTAGAAGCTGCAACAAGCAATAATTCTCCGATCGGCCCTCGATGCCATACTTCTCCAGAACCTTATCTATCACTGTGTGGGTGTGGTCACTGTTCATTAGCTGTGTGATAAAGATGACTGCGATATTTATGGCATGAAATACAACTGACAGATGACATTATTTTATAACCTGATATACAACAGACAGATGACTGACATTGATTTATGACATGATATACAACTGACAGATGACTGACATTGATTTATGACATGATATACAACTGACAGATGACTGACATTGATTTATGACATGATATACAAAAGACAGATGACCGACACTGATTTATGACACGATATACAACTGACAGATGACTTACACTGATTTATGATAATATATACAACTGAAAGATGACTGACATCCATTTATAATGGGATACACAACTGACAGATGACTGATATGCATTTATAACATGATATACAACTTACAGATGACTGACATTTTTTTAATGATATACAAATGATAGATGACTAGCATTTATTTATGATATGATATACAACTGACAGATGACTAACATTTATCTATGACATGACACACACTCAGTAGGATCCAGTGGTGTAAGGGCTACATGCTCAAAGCAAGACTGACCAGTAAAAGATAAAACAGGTGTACTATTCAGTTATATATGAGACACAGACTCAGCATTCGGTTAAATATGAGACACAGACTCAGCATTCGGTTAAATATGAGACACAGACTCAGCATTTTGTTAAATATGAGACACAGACTCAGCATTCTGTTAAATATGAGACACAGACTCAGCATTCGGTTAAATATGAGACACAGACTCAGCATTCTGTTAAATATGAGACACAGACTCAGCATTCGGTTAAATATGAGACACAGACTCAGCATTCGGTTAAATATGAGACACAGACTCAGCATTCTGTTAAATATGAGACACAGACTCAGCATTCGGTTAAATATGAGACACAGACTCAGCATTCTGTTAAATATGAAACACAGACTCAGCATTCGGTTAAATATGAGACACAGACTCAGCATTCTGTTAAATATGAGACACAGACTCAGCATTCGGTTAAATATGAGACACAGACTCAGCATTCTGTTAAATATGAGACACAGACTCAGCATTCTGTTAAATATGAGACACAGACTCAGCATTCGGTTAAATATGAGACACAGACTCAGCATTATGTTAAATATGAGACACAGACTCAGCATTCTGTTAAATATTAGACACAGACTCAGCATTCTGTTAAATATGAGACACAGACTCAGCATTCTGTTAAATATGAGACACAGACTCAGCATTCTGTTAAATATGAGACACAGACTCAGCATTCTGTTAAATATGAGACACAGACTCAGCATTTTGTCAAATATGAGATACAGACATACCATTATTTTAAATATGAGACACAGAAACAGCATTCTGTTAAAGATTTGTCACATACATATTATTCTGTTAAATATGAGACACATACATAGCATTGTTAAACATGAGACACATACATAACATTATGTTAAATATAAGATACATACATAGTATTCTGTTAAATGTGAGACACAGACATATCATTTTGTTAAATATGAGACACATGCATAGCATTCAGTTAAATATGAGTCACATACATAGCATTCAGTTAAATATGAGTCACATACATAGCATTCAGTTAAATATGAGTCACATACATGGCATCCAGTTAAAGATGGGACAAATGAAGATAAGACAAAGACAGACAATTTAGAAATGAGACAAAGATAAGCCCCTTGGCTAAAGCTGAGATAAAGATATATCCTGAGACAAACAAATTTAGCATTCAGCTACAGTCAAGATAACAACATCAATTTTGGTGTGTGCATGTGTTCTTCTATGCTTGCTAACTATAAAATCTGACAATAAAGTATTGATTATTCATCCAAGCCTCCACTTTAGTCCTGTTCCAGGGCTTCAATGTTGCATGCGCATGTGTTTTACAGATCTGGCTTATGTGTGTACACATGGCTGGTGGTTCTCCACCTCTCAGGCAGATGACCAGGAACATCTCTTGGATACTGAAAAGACACTTAAACCAAATCCTCCTCATTTCAACAGCTCTGGTCACAGAGGCAAAAAGGATATATCTGTCACTGCCATAAAATCTTGCTATGGTGATCAAACCAGACATTCTTCTTTGGAAAATCGCCTCATCCATAGTCTAGGTGTTCTTAGCCCAGTAGGTGTGAATGTTGAGCATACCTTCATGTAAACAAATTTTTACTATTCCTACTCTTATTTTATATTTTTGTTTCATTCTCTTTAATTTATGGATCATGAGTATTTGTATTCCTACTCATCATCATCAAGTGCCTTGCCAGTTGGCATAGATGTTCATGCGTCAACATAGATCTCAATATTTGGAGTTCTGGATCAATTCTACTGATGTTATTCCTTCATGCCCTGTCTTAGGCCCTCCACCATCATTTCTCTTGGTCTATCTGCCTCTTCTACAAGAGATCTTTCCAGTAGTTACAATATTCTCCAGTGCTTTTTTTCTCATAACATGACCAAAGAACTTTGTTTGTCTCCTTCTCATTGTTGTATAAAATGTTCTACTTTCATTAGCCATTTCCAGGCATACAATGTTGGTTATTCTGGCAGTACAAGGTTTTCTCAACATTCTTCTCAAAAACCACATCTCAGTTGCCTTCAAACTCTTCTTAATTTGTTTGCTCACATTCCAAGATTCACTACCATACAACAGAACAGGCTCGATATAACATTTCAATACTCGTTTTCTTACGTTTAATGAGAATGATTTATTACATAAGATACTCCTTATCTTCTGAAATGCTGCCTTTGCCTGGTCAATTCAGTTCTTAATTTCTGTCACACATCGTCTATCTAATGTTATGAATGTCCCCTAAATATTTGAATTTACTGACTTGGTTAAAAACGTTCCCTTATGTTGCTGTGTCAACATTTTGGAGTTATCTTCTTCCTTAATATAACTATTGTTTCTGTTTTCTTGATATTCACGGAGAGTCCCTTTTTTGCACTCTCTAGCAGAACAATGTCTAATAGCTGTTGTAGCTCTTCTGCGTTTTCAGCTATTAATTCTGTATCATCTGCATAATAAAGATTGTTTAAATTATAACCTCCAAATAGTATTCCTGGTCTATCCTTGACCTCCCTCATTATTGTTTCACTATAAAGAGAGAAGAGATCTAGTGACAAAACACATCTTTGTATCCCTACTGTTATTATAGACTGTCACTATTTCTTTAAAAACAATTTCCGCTTCTATATTTATTTTATTTTATCCATTCCAGGTCACTTTTTTCTTCCTATACTTTAGTTATTCTAGCGACCCCATCATGGGCATTGGTTTTTGGAGTACTTTTTGTTGTGTAGTTCGTGTTAAGAAAGGCTCTGGCTGAAATTGTTGTGTAGTTCATGTTAAGAAAGGCTCTGGCTGAAATTGTTGTGTAGTTCATGTTAAGAAAGGCTCTGGCTGAAATTGTTGTGTAGTTCATGTTAAGAAAGGCTCTGGCTGAAATTGTTGTGTAGTTCATGTTAAGAAAGGCTCTGGCTGAAATTGTTGTGTAGTTCATGTTAAGAAAGGCTCTGGCTGAAATTGTTGTGTAGTTCATGTTAAGAAAGGCTCTGGCTGAAATTGTTGTGTAGTTCATGTTAAGAAAGGCTCTGGCTGAAACATTGATTTGTCTATTTTGTGCATCTATTCCTCTTTCCCCTGTTCGTTGAGCTTTTCAGTCACAGTTCACTGCATGTATTTATTTTAGTTAAAGATGAGACAAAAACTTACCATTATACTTTTATAAACATGAGCTGTGTCATTCTGACTGTTGTCCATGGACACTTTGATGACGTAGGAGTCTGACGACTTGAAGGGAGTGTGGCCGGAGGGAGTGTCACTGTCCGTCGATATCACAGATGATGTAGAAGACGAATGTGAAAGCTAGAAGGATACAGTACAAGCAGTTACATTGTGATACTTTGTGTGTGTGGGTATATGTGAGGATATGAGGGTTATGTGTGTGCAAAACTACTGAACATAAACACAGCCCAGTGAGATCACAAACAGCTAAACATAAAATGCAGATTTGGTTTTGCAATGTCCTGTAAAAGATGCGCAACTGGATGTTATGTGTGTGCACTGAGCGCATGTGTACAAGTGTAAGTGCATGTGGGTATAACTGTGTGTGCACTGAGCACATGTGTACAAAAGTAAGTGCATGTGGTTATAACTGTGTGTGCACTGAGCGCATGTGTACAAGTGTAAGTGCATGTGGCTATAACTGTGTGTGCACTGAGCGCATGTGTACAAGTGTAAGTGCATGTGGCTATAACTGTGTGTGCACTGAGCGCATGTGTACAAGTGTAGGTGCATGTGGCTATAACTGTGTGTGCACTGAGCGCATGTGTACAAGTGTAAGTGCATGTGGCTATAACTGTGTGTGCACTGAGCGCATGTGTACAAGTGTAAGTGCATGTGGTTATAACTGTGTGTGCACTGAGCGCATGTGTACAAGTGTAAGTGCATGTAGGTATAAATGTGTGTGCACTGAGCGCATGTGTACAAGTGTAAGTGCATGTGGCTATAACTGTGTGTGCACTGAGCGCATGTGTACAAGTGTAAGTGCATGTGGGTATAACTGTGTGTGCACTGAGCGCATGTGTACAAGTGTAAGTGCATGTGGGTATAACTGTGTGTGCACTGAGCGCATGTGTACAAGTGTAGGTGCATGTGGCTATAACTGTGTGTGCACTGAGCGCATGTGTACAAGTGTAAGTGCATGTGGCTATAACTGTGTGTGCACTGAGCGCATGTGTACAAGTGTAAGTGCATGTGGCTATAACTGTGTGTGCACTGAGCGCATGTGTACAAGTGTAAGTGCATGTGGCTATAACTGTGTGTGCACTGAGCGCATGTGTACAAGTGTAAGTGCATGTGGCTATAACTGTGTGTGCACTGAGCGCATGTGTACAAGTGTAAGTGCATGTGGCTATAACTGTGTGTGCACTGAGCGCATGTGTACAAGTGTAAGTGCATGTGGGTATAACTGTGTGTGCACTGAGCGCATGTGTACAAGTGTAAGTGCATGTAGGTATAAATGTGTGTGTCTGTGAGAGGCATATGAGTGTATATGCGGACATGTATCTTGGTGTGGATGGATCTGACAGAGAGAGAGAGAGAGAGAGAGAGAGAGAGAGAGACAGAGAGACAGAAAGTGTGTGTGCGTGTGAATGCGTGTGTGTGAGAGAGAGAGACAGAGAGAGAGAGACACAGAGAGAGAGAGAGACATAGAGAGAGAGAGAAACAAAGAGAAAGTGTGTGTGCATGTGCATGCGTGTGTGAGAGAGAGACAGAGAGAGAGAAAGTATGTGTGTGTGTGCATGCATGTGAGAGCGCAAAAGAAATAGAGGGAGACAGAGAGAGAGAAAGTGTGTGTGTGTGCATGCGTGTGTGAGAGAGAAAGAGAGAAAAAAAGAAAGTGTGTGTGCGTGTGTATGTGTGTGTGTGAGAGAAAGTGTGTGTGCGTATGCATGCATGTGTGAGAGAGAGAGAGAGAGAGAGAGAGAATGTGTGTGTGTGCGTGTGCATGCCACAGAACAGGTGGTATCTTATGTGATTAATCATGTGTGCAACTACTTATCTGTTTTAACGGCTGCTTCCATCACAGATGAACTGCATTTCTAGTGTCAGACTTTTAGTGTTGGCACTACTGACAGCTGCCTTATGCATATAATAATGCAAGTGTCTGCTACCAGATTTACTAAGACTGCAGTCTGCGTTCACTTTTCCACAAGGGAGCGTGATGATAGTCACTCTGTGTGGTTTTCGTTGCCACGCGAACAGGGTAACTACGGGGTGACCCGCTTGTGTGTGTGCACAGGTGTGGGTGCATGTATATGAGTATGTGTGTGTGTGTGCGGGTGTGGGCACATGTGTGCGTGTGTCAGTGCATGGCTGTCAATGTGGGTGTGCTGGTGTCTGTGTAAGTATATGTGTGTACAGATGTATATGTAGGGATGAATGTACATGTGTGTGTGTGGGATGTAAATTTGAGTGTGGGTGCATGCTTATGCAAGCGCAGGTGTGTGTGAATATACTACAGGTGCGCGCATGTGTGTGTGCGCATCCGCGTGCATATGTGAGGAGGGATGGGTGGGTGCATGTCTGGTTGGATTAACAGAGTATGTGAATGTTTTTTCTTAATACTCTATTTTAAAAAAAGCTACGTTTACACAGTACAAGTTGTCAACATGTAATTTTGTGTGTGTGTGTGTGAATGTGTAGGTACATATGGAGTGGTCTGAGACAGTGCAAACACAACAGTGATATGATTAGTTATGTCTCCTTCATCTTCTTCTACTTCCTCTTCGCCTTCACCGGCTGTAAATTCCAGCAAAAAGTTCTGATTTTTTTTCCCCACCACTGTACTGTATTCCTGCTCCAGATCCTGATTGCAAATCCATTTTACAGATCTGACTCATCTGTATGCAAACTGTTGGTTCCTTGCCTCTCAGACAGATGCGCTTCAACTTCGAAGGAAGATCCCAATTAGTCAACTCTTACAACTATGCTTTTGGGTAGGCAGCAATTTCCTGGAAGAAAACAAGATATTGGATGACAGCCAATCAGGCTTCAGGAGATACAGAAGCACTGATGACCACACTTCGTATCTTGCACAGGAAATTGAAGATGCTTTCCAGAAAAAATACAAACTGCTAGCTACTTTCTTCGACCTGACCCAAGCCTTTGATAAGGTCTGGAAGAAATGCAGCAGGTCTATTCTTGTATTCCTCACAACTGGGCCCTAGAACCAACCTGTGAAAATGATATGATCAGTTATGAGGACCTGCTTCAAATACCATATCTGTCTTCATTAACCATTAACTCACCAAGGGCCCAATAGATGTTGCTATTGTATCCGGTATGCTGATAATACTGTTTCTTTCTTCTAACCCACATGTAAAGAGCCCCAACCTTGTGTTCTCAAATTTTGTTGGCTTCGTAGGCAAGCTGCAGACACAAAGAAAACAAAAACATAATGTGAGAAATAAAAAAAAAAACTAAAAAAATTAACACCACTGAAGAAAAATTAAGGTAATTAAAGAACCCTTTTCCATACCATTAGCTATATCCTGCATACAGTGCTAGAACAATCGGCACTCAGTGAGATGTGGTCAGCATCACGCCAGCCACCTTTATTTCCCAGGACTTGACCTGGTACCTATTTTAGGCTGGGTTAACCTGGGCACCAAGGTAATTTTGGAAAAAAAATTCCAACTCAATGCGGATCTAAACCTACAACTTTCAGCCCGAGGTAAGTATCTAGCTGCTACACCACGGTGGCTTCCTATTAAAAGGAAAATTAAAAACTAAAATAAAATTGCAGACAGTGAAATGATGTTCCATTGGCATCCACTGAGGACACACAAGGATAAAAAAGGATAATAGTATAACTGTAATTTACTGGCAGTCGAATCCACAAGGTCAAAGAAATAAAGGAGGACTGCCAGACAACCTAAAAAGAACATTGGTAAACATGGAAATTAGATGCTGAGAACACTGCAAGAGTCACCAGAAGAGATAGAATCAGGAATGGGGGCACAAGAGAAAAGTCAGCACAAAACCAATTCTAAATGATATACAGACAGACAGCAAACCCAATAGTGTGCCCACTTAAAGACAAAGCCTTGTGATACCATACCATACAAGGCATATACTCAAAGAGCACAAGGGTGCAGAGCACACAACAGACGGAGAACAAGATGCAAAGACAACATTAGAGAAAATCTACAACAGCATGATGTGTCTATGATCAAGGCGGCCAGAAGAGCAAGAAGCAGCACTTTTTATCTCCCTTGACAACAAAAGGGGAAAAAGAGGAAGTGCAGAAGAAGAAGTCTAGCTACATAAAGATGACTAAGTATAACATAACATAGCCCTTGACCCATTAGGGTCATAGAGGTGTATCGGTGGAATCACTAGCACAGAAAACCCGCCATCTTTCTCTGTCTTCCACTTTATGAAAAAAGTGTATGATAACTCAGTCCTATCCACTTCTTGATGTTGTAATTCCAGATTCTTCTTTACCCTCCTATTCTCTGACTAAAATTTTTTATTTAAACTACAGTCTTTGCAATCAAATCATAGTTACTATAATCTCGACGTCCTTTTTGGGATGCAATTTTTCGTTGTTTGAAGCCCTACCCTGGTTCTTGCCAGGGGCCGCAATATAGCCCGGCCATAATAATGGCCTAATGGCTGAACGCGGTTTCTGGGACCTCTCCACGGTGATCCTCATCCATATGGTGGCACTTTGTGTCATCGGGTGTTTATCGCTTGTGTGATGTCCTGGTGGGGTGGAAAGTCAGTCAGTCAGTCAATCAAATCATGTTTCACCATGTGCCTGAACCAAGCTAGCCTGCAATGTTTCACCACTGCCAAAAGAGGCTCCTAACGTCCTGCAAATGTGTCTATTTTGTCTCTTACACATTTGTTACCTCTGGGTTCTATATAACTAATTCATAAAATGCGACTGTAACATTTATATGACTAAGGTTAAGGAAGGCTTGAAACAAGTTGGTATTGAACAATAGATAGTTGAGCTGGGATAAGAAACAACATCACTGCATTCGGAAATGCGTGCTCCGTCCTCCTCTTCAGCAGTCAGCAAAGTTCCAATTCTGATACTACCAGCAGCAAGTTTGATTTATATGTCTGTCTTGTTTTTCCTCTGACTGCATAGTATTAGCCAGTTCTCCTGTCACTAACATCCAAAGCGGAATGATCTACTCGAACTGTAACCTGTTCATTTGCTCCTGAAGTTCTAAACAAAAAAACAAGCAACTAAAACATAATATGGCCAGACTTTTTGCTGTTTATGAGCCATTTTCAGATCTTGTAAAATATGCTTTTTCTTCTAGATCCACAAGAAATGTTCTAAC